GTTTCATTCACTCAGGGGCATCCTTGCACCTTGCATTATTTCATTAACCCCTTCACATATCCTCATTAGTTCCTCTTCAGTTGACGTCACACCCGGAAATGGTCCACATAAGATTATTTACCCAATCACTTCGCTCAGTGGACCACCTGTGCACTTAAAGTGTGCATTTATCGTCGCCTGAAGTAAGAACAATTTATTATTTAACTGTTTGTTAATTATATCATTAAAAGCAGTCAACAATTTTGGTATCTTGCTCAGTTCGCAGAGCTGGGCCAGTTAACTGTCCATACGCCATCCTATAATTAGTAGATAATTCTGGACGGTTTAGCTTCCACGGAAATCGCACCCAATAATGTCCAGATTCAAATTTAACATCCTTCAGGTATTGTTCCTGAGTAAAGGAATCATTTGGACTTTCCTCATTTATATTAATCCCTATGCTGTCCAGCTCCCACAAATTAGACTGGTTCAACATCATTCTCGATAGAAGAATACTTGTACTAGGTTGACCTTTTATAAGACACTGTGACTGTATTCACTACTTCCTCTAGTCATTATTACTAGGCGGTAGTCTGCCATATATTACATGGCCAGTACCAGTGTTGAGGAGAGTGACGCCGCATGGTTTTGGATTTATGCCCTTTATCCTGAATTATTACATCCAACACCGGCAAGGCTACCTCAGCTAGGCATCATTATTGCCATTAGCTGCAACCTTTACATCAGTCAATGTAGTGTCATTATTGTCACCATTATTATAAGAATCACATACAACCCTGCACATAACTGTATGGTGCCTTCCCTTGTTGCATTGATAGCAACTGTTCAATTTGGTATGACAATCCTTTACATTATGATTGTCTAGACATCTGATAAATCTATCAAGTTCTTTCATTCTTTCCACTTTAATATCCCATGAATTATAGGCATTACAATTCTTAGTAAAATGAGTACCCATGCAGAAGAGACAGTCTCTCTTTTCCTTGCCTGACCTCTTATTAACTGGGTTACCTTTATTGAGGTACTTATTCCTCTTACCTTGATGTGAGGAACCACTATTACTGATTCCTTTCACTTGATATGTGCCTATTTAACTCTTAATTATGATTATTACCACTGGGATTATTTTTCACTTTTGAGACTTGACAGATACTTCAGAGTCATTATGTGTTATATCCTTAGAACTGTTTGGCTGACTGGTCTGCAATTGAACAATTAATTCTTGCCGACCTAGTCTGATTTCCTCCAGACCGTACTCTGGAGGTTTTGGCAAACACACCCTTTGCATTAAGAGGTTGATCAACTGCCTGGCTTACACCCTTCAATTTATTCAAAGCCTTACTTTTACAAGACAGTTTTTCTTCCAATTCGTAATGTTGATTAATTAAGACATTCATTTCCATTCCATCTGCTCAATTCTCCAGCAGATCTCTTTCACAGTCTTTAAACCACAATTTGTACCACTCAAATCTACTCTCTAAAGCATCTAAATATAACTTTAATTCATTAGGTTTCACGGTTCTTTGATTCATTAAATCCAAGCACTTGCATGCCTTCGTCATATGGCATTTAATAGCCTGTAATGATTCTTTCATTACTCTAAAATCCACGGACTTGTCAGCCACATTAACTCCATCAGATCCAGTCATAGTTAGAGAATTATTAATCACTGATTATACAACTTAAGTAGGCGCCTTATAAGAGTAAATCTTGCACTTTACTCTTGTATAAATCCTAGCCACACATGTGCTAGCAATTAATTGGGCTAATTATCATCCACCACACGATCGATTAAATTTGTGTACTCTATACCCACTTCCTACAATCAGTCACTTAATTATTAATTAATTTTTCACTGATTGCATCCGGTTCAGGAAGGACCAGCGGGCAGATATGGAAAATTTTCTAGGGTGTTACCTGTATGTACCTCAGCATTACATGCATACGAGTAATCTCATTGGGAGACAAAAACTATAATGTTTACCGTAGTCACCCCATGTAGACATGTGAGAAAACTTACCCACCCCTGGTCACTGCAGGTGGCCTTCGACACTCACAATCTTATCCATATCTATCCGAGACCATTATAAATTGGATAGCACCCACAAGTACGGCGCTACTATTTAATTTTGGACTGTATAGATTATATTAGTTTAACTGAATGAAGGGAAGGGGGGTAGGTTACACATGGATATATCCATCAAGGAAAAACACTTGTACATAATCCCACCATTTACCAGATATTCTCTGGTGGTCACTTGATGTAGCTGGATCACCAATAACCTATCCAATTACAACATACCTAACTGGCCAGTATCAGTCTGCTATAACTAGAAAGGTTACTTAACTGTGGGTGACTGATGCTCCTTATTTCCTCCATTCACCATCTCATTTCGATGTCCTGTTACACTGAGACAGTTCTTATTCCAGCAGGACGAGGTATCCGTTGGTTTGTCCCGGTTTAGAAGTCGTAACTCCATAAAAACTTCACTATCCTCGAGACAGGAACACGAGATAAACAGATGCTCACTCTGAGAACGGCGACTCATTTCACTTCACACATTCTCTTAACTTGGTGTTATTATCACTGATTACTTCTTAGCCCACCATACTGTTTAATGTCCCCTAATTATTATACACATTGGAGGCCACTCCATTAAGATCTGAGACTGATGAGTGATGATTAAACCATGGGTATTTTAACCTGGGACACACTCCATGGCGACGCGCCAGTCACCACGGGTCCTATCATTATTCACTCATTTTACATTTTGTTACGGTGGTCCCGTAAATCATGTTCCCTCACTCTTCACCAGGAACAATTACGACATTTCCTATTTTGAAGTGAGGCCTATATTAATCCTTAAGCAGCCGTGAACGCCAATTTCCTGGTCCCATGCTTTTCCAGCCTCTTAAATCCATTCAAAACACTCCCGCTTAATCCATGCCCTGTGTCGACCTCTTCCCCCGCACATCCGCGCAGACGCAGAGGGAACTCTTGGTTCTATTCCATTTTCAAATACATTTTTGACCCATATCGACCCATTAAACACCTATTAGGCACTATAGCTTCGGAAAATTAAAACATTTTCCACAGACATGTTGTCAATACCGTTCTCGAGTTAGGGTAACGTCAGAAATTTGGCATACATTTATAGAGTTTTGAGGCTCATTTATGAAAAAAAATAATTTGGATTGTCGATCTTTTGACTGATTAGTGGCTCGCTAAACACACAGTCACACTGAGACTTCAATATCTCACTCATTTTTTTGTTGTCATCTGTGTAAGTTCCGTCTTGTCTGAACGAAGGCCCGATATTAGATCTGTTTTTTGCCTAGTTTTTTTTTTTGCAACTGAAAAGAAATATTTCGAATTTCTTTCCACTTCACTTATCATTTTAGCTTCTGATGCCTCTTCTAGATCCTGTATGAATCCTTTAACTTAAGCTAGATGCTTTCCACTCTCCTGGTCAGTACTTCCTTCCGTGTATCAGATAATCCAGCGTTTGTGAAGAATTCAGTGATTCTTCTTCATCTTCTGTAGAGGGAACGTCTTTTTCTCTCTTATCTCTTAGAGGAATATGCCTTGAATATACTTCAGCTGTCAGGAAGCTGTTCCTTTCAAGGCATTGGTTTGAATTCATGTTATTTAAGATATCTTCCCAACATGTTTCATTTAAGACAAGGTTCACCTGATCCCAGTTGATGTTCCTTGTTATTGAAGTTGTATTTACTGAAGACACCTTCATAGCTCGTGCATTTTGCTGGTCAATACCCTCGTGCATGTCTGAACTTCGATTGGATTGCGATGGGAATTTGTTGTTTTGTTATTGTTATGTTTTTTACAGGTCCTCAGTATTTGTGAAAATGAGGTGAAGTGTGTTTTCCAGTCTTGTTGACTCCACTATCTACTGACTTAGGGTGTGTTTATTGTAGAAATTTAGCAGCTCAAGTGTGATAATTTTCTTCTGTTCTGCCTCCAGTGACTTTCTGCTGTTACATTATTTACTACATTCTTTCATTTTGTATGCCTTAGGTTGAAATTACCAAGCAGTAAGATGTCTGGGGATGGAGGTGGAAGACTTTCCAGACAGTAATCAATTTTCAGTAGCTGTTCTTTGAACTGTTGGGAGGTTGCATCTTGTGGCTTATACACAGCCACGATTATTAGGTTTTCGTTCTCCATCTCTACTGATAGAACTTCAACTACTTAGTTGTGGTGTTCAGCATCTCTGTGCAGATAAGCGATTCTTTCACAAACAGGCCAACCTCCCTCCCTTCACCTTGTTGCCTCTTCTTTCTATCGCATCTAAAATGGTTATACCCAGTTTTCCACATTCTTTGTCAAAGTGATCTTTTGTGTGGGTCTTGTGAAGGCTGCAAACATCGCATTTGAGTTCTCTAGAAGTCTGATGGAGCTTGGCTTGAGGCCTTGTACATTAGTAAATAGAAACGAGGTCATATTGTGTGTTTGTTGGGGGATTTTGTTATTGGCATCATAGTTGTGGTTCTGGAGTGCCATGAGAAGTCACTGGCTGTACGTCCAGTCCAACAAGAGTCCAAGGAGGTTGGCTATTTTGGTTATTTCCTTCCAGTTTCTTTCTTCGCTTCCTGTCACTAAAAAATCACTTGGAGTGGGATTGTCATAACTACTTTGGTTTCTCTTATGGGGTCTGTACCTCCTGGTCCCTTTTAGAAGGTATCCAGGGCAGTTGGTGTTGTATACAAATAGTTCCATCATTTTAACGACCACTATTGGTTTCTTATAAAATGAAGAGGGTCCTTAAAAATACTGTGTAATGCACACACTCATAATGAAAAAACATCCACGATCAGAGAAACCTGTTATTGTGAAGAAGTTTTTGAAAGTAGGGCTTGATAATGCTTGGTATACAATGAAAACTATAACAATTAAAAGCGTCTGTGCATCCTTTGACTCAGTGTTATTTAAGCTTCCTCAGAATCTTAAATAACACTGAGTCCAACCATATTTTATTCAGTGGAAAACTCTAAACCTGTAGTGGCTAAGTAGCCCCTAGGAAATGGGAGGAAATGAGTAAAATTAACATCCTTTTGTTAGTACACGACTGAAAAAGAGAGCAAATTACAGAACGTGAAGGATTTCAAAGAAAAGAATAAAGCAAAGTTTTCAACAATGGATTTCGAAGCCATCAGTGACGCTGTAGGCCATTTTGGCAGATACCAGAAATACGTGTTTGGTTTAGCCAGTATTGGGCTCTTCATTACATCCATGTCAGCGGTCTCCATGACATTTCTCGCCAATCCTGTCAAATACAGGTAAATCATTCCTCTTGAATGTTAATACACACACACGCACACACACGCACGCACACACACACACACACACACACACACACACACACACACACACACACACACACATACCACACACACACACACACACACACACACACACACACACACACACACACACACACACACATATATATATATATATATATATATATATATATATATATATATATATATATATATATATATATATATATATATATATATATATATATATATATATACATATATATATACAGGTGGTTAATTGATTTATATATATTTCAACCTGCTTCTGAGATACTGAAGGTAGTAGCGCTGCCCACCGAATTTTTATGAATAATCATAGCAATTGTTTAATTAATTAGACTTTTATTTTTTGAATGTCTAAAATTCACCCTAAATAAGATAAGAAACATTAAAAAAATAAAATTAATCAGCTAAAAATAAATATATTGCAAGCGTATCTATAACTAATTACCAGAGGCTTAACCACCTGCACACCATCATTGCTCTGGACCTACTAAGGGTTCAGGTTTGAAGTTGCTAGTTATGTGTACATATATCATGGGTCCCCTAGATATATTGAGGTGGCTAGTTTTGACTTAATAGCAATCGCTATGCTCAGTTCAATACCGAAAATATAGTTATTGTCACTAGCCACACTATAGTAAAGGGTTAACATTATGAACATCCTGAATGTTCATTTTGCTTTTCCCACCTATAAATTGATGTATACAGAAGAATAATATCTAAATAAAGAGTATACAAATGAAGGAAGTGTCCCAGGAAGTGTGGGGCTCATAGCACCATCTGCGTGTGCTGTTAGGATACACCAACAGTGTCCCAGGAAGTGTGGGGCTCATAGCACCATCTGCGTGTGCTGTTAGGATACACCAACAGTGTCCCAGGAAGTGTGGGGCTCATAGCACCATCTGCGTGTGCTGTTAGGATACACCAACAGTGTCCCAGGAAGTGTGGGGCTCATAGCACCATCTGCGTGTGCTGTTAGGATATACCAACACTGACCAAAATTGAATGGTGGTTGCTAGAGGTGGTGATAAAGTGGGTGTAAAATAACTTTAAATATTGTGTAACTGTTGACACTCTGCAGTGATGAACCTCCATAAATGTAAATTAATAAATTCATGCCAGTGCAGCATCCATTTTTTAGAAGGACTACAGGAGGCCCGTGAGTAGCTGGTTGGTGTAATGACACCAAGTATACTGTAGTGTAATGAAACCAAGTATACTGTAGTGTAATGAAACCAAGTATACTGTAGTGTAATGACACCAAGTATACTGTAGTGTAATGAAACCAAGTATATTGTAGTGTAATGACACCAAGTATACTGTAGTGTAATGAAACCAAGTATATTGTAGTGTAATGAAACCAAGTATATTGTAGTGTAATGAAACCAAGTATACTGTAGTGTAATGACACCAAGTATACTGTAGTGTAATGACACCAAGTATACTGTAGTGTAATGAAACCAAGTATACTGTAGTGTAATGAAACCAAGTATACTGTAGTGTAATGAAACCAAGTATACTGTAGTGTAATGACACCAAGTATAGTGTAGTGTAATGACACCAAGTATACTGTAGAGTAATGACACCAAGTATACTGTAGTGTAATGACACCAAGTATACTGTAGAGTAATGACACCAAGTATACTGTAGTGTAATGAAACCAAGTATACTGTAGTGTAATGACACCAAGTATACTGTAGTGTAATGACACCAAGTATACTGTAGAGTAATGACACCAAGTATACTGTAGTGTAATGACACCAAGTATACTGTAGAGTAATGACACCAAGTATACTGTAGTGTAATGAAACCAAGTATACTGTAGTGTAATGACACCAAGTATAGTGTAGTGTAATGAAACCAAGTATATTGTAGTGTAATGAAACCAAGTATATTGTAGTGTAATGAAACCAAGTATACTGTAGTGTAATGACACCAAGTATACTGTAGTGTAATGACACCAAGTATACTGTAGCGTAATGACACCAAGTATACTGTAGTGTAATGACACCAAGTATACTGTAGCGTAATGACACCAAGTATACTGTAGTGTAATGACACCAAGTATACTGTAGAGTAATGAGACCAAGTATACTTTAGTGTAGTGTAATGACACCAAGTATACTGTAGTGTAATGACACCAAGTATACTGTAGAGTAATGAGACCAAGTATACTTTAGTGTAGTGTAATGACACCAAGTATACTGTAGTGTAATGACACCAAGTATACTGTAGTGTAATGACACCAAGTATACTGTAGAGTAATGAGACCAAGTATACTTTAGTGTAGAGTAATGACACCAAGTATACTGTAGTGTAATGACACCAAGTATACTGTAGAGTAATGACACCAAGTATACTGTAGTGTAATGACACCAAATATACTGTAGTGTAATGACACCAAGTATATTGTAGTGTAATGAAACCAAGTATACTGTAGTGTAATGACACCAAGTATACTGTAGTGTAATGACACCAAGTATATTGTAGTGTAATGAAACCAAGTATACTGTAGTGTAATGACACCAAGTATACTGTAGTGTAGTGTAATGAAACCAAGTATACTATAGTACAATGACACCAAGTATACTGTAGTGTAATGACACCAAGTATACTGTAGTGTAATGAAACCAAGTATACTGTAGTGTAATGACACCAAGTATACTGTAGTGTAATGAAACCAAGTATACTGTAGTGTAATGACACCAAGTATACTGTAGTGTAATGAAACCAAGTATACTGTAGTGTAATGAAACCAAGTATACTGTAGTGTAATGACACCAAGTATACTGTAGTGTAATGAAACCAAGTATACTGTAGTGTAATGACACCAAGTATACTGTAGTGTAATGAAACCAAGTATACTGTAGTGTAATGACACCAAGTATACTGTAGTGTAATGAAACCAAGTATATTGTAGTGTAATGACACCAAGTATACTATAGTACAATGACACCAAGTATACAGTAGTGTAATGACACCAAATATACTGTAGTGTAATGACACCAAATATACTGTAGTGTAATGACACCAAGTATACTGTAGTGTAGTGTAATGAAACCAAATATACTGTAGTGTAATGACACCAAGTATACTGTAGTGTAATGACACCAAGTATACTGTAGTGTAATGACACCAAATATACTGTAGTGTAATGACACCAAGTATACTGTAGTGTAATGACACCAAGTATACTGTAGTGTAATGACACCAAGTATACTATAGTACAATGACACCAAGTATACTGTAGTGTAGTGTAATGACACCAAGTATACTATTATACAATGACACCAAGTATACTGTAGTGTAATGACACCAAGTATACTGTAGTGTAGTGTAATGACACCAAGTATACTATTGTACAATGACACCAAGTATACTGTAATGTAATGACACCAAGTATACTGTAGTGTAATGACACCAAGTATACTGTAGTGTAATGACACCAAGTATACTGTAGTGTAATGACACCAAGTATACTATAGTACAATGACACCAAGTATACTGTGGTGTAATGAAACCAAGTATACTGTAGTGTAATGAAACCAAGTATACTGTAGTGTAATGACACCAAATATACTATAGTACAATAACACCAAGTATACTGTAGTGTAATGAAACCAAGTATACTGTAGTGTAATGACACCAAGTATACTATAGTACAATGACACCAAGTATACTGTAGTGTAATGAAACCAAGTATACTGTAGTGTAATGAAACCAAGTATACTATAGTACAATGAAACCAAGTATACTGTAGTGTAATGAAACCAAGTATACTGTAGTGTAATGAAACCAAGTATACTATAGTACAATGACACCAAGTATACTGTAGTGTAATGAAACCAAGTATACTGTAGTGTAATGACACCAAGTATACTGTAGTGTAATGAAACCAAGTATACTGTAGTGTAATGACACCAAATATACTGTAGTGTAATGACACCAAGTATACTATAGTACAATGACACCAAGTATACTGTAGTGTAATGAAACCAAGTATATTGTAGTGTAATGAAACCAAGTATACTGTAGTGTAATGAAACCAAGTATACTATAGTACAATGACACCAAGTATACTGTAGTGTAATGACACCAAATATACTGTAGTGTAATGACACCAAGTATACTGTAGTGTAATGAAACCAAGTATACTATAGTACAATGACACCAAGTATACTGTAGTGTAATGACACCAAATATACCTTAGTACAATGACACCAAGTATACTGTAGTGTAATGAAACCAAGTATACTGTAGTGTAATGAAACCAAGTATACTGTAGTGTAATGACACCAAGTATACTGTAGTGTAATGAAACCAAGTATACTGTAGTGTAATGACACCAAGTATACTATAGTACAATGACACCAAGTATACTGTAGTGTAATGAAACCAAGTATACTGTAGTGTAATGATGTCAGCATAGTTGCTGATCCCCTGTATATGTATCGTAGTTAGTACCATCTATATACTTTATGTACACGATCCCTTGCTAGGCCTAGGGGCTATCATGTGTGATGTCACATGATGCCGCATGTGACTGTGAGAAGCGCTGTCCCTTCTTCATTTCACGCGAAGACCTAAAGGCAACAGGACAGGCTAGGCTGGGCTCTCCTCTCACACTCTGCTAATATAAGTGTTACCACCCAATAAGTGTGTTTATCTCCAACCATCATATTTCTACGAACCCTCAACAAATGCTGACAGCGGTGAGCGCATCAATTTGAAATTTACGCAGATGTACGGAGATTAAATTCTACCAGCCGAGGGATATTGTGTGTCGACCGCATGGGAGCCTAGCAGCCAGCTACCCCGAGCAAGCATCCACCAGCCTGTTTGCTTCCTGCTTCCTGGTCAGTCTTTGTGTCTTAGTGTTTTTTTCTGCTTATTTGCATTACTTCCAAGGGTTTGCAAATTAAGCCAAGCTGCCAAGCCAGTCTGTGAGAGGG